CGCCCCGCGCCCGTCTCCCCCATGGCGTTCCCACGCCTCGCCTCTTACCCGCCGCGGGCGGGCCGCCGCCGGCCGGGCAGAGCCGCTCAGAGAACGCCCGCCGCCGCCCGCCGCCCGCCGCCGCCACGCGCGGCCTCCGCCTCCCCCATTGGCCGCCGCCGGGACGCCCTCGGCCAATGGCCGCCGCCCGGCTCCGCTCGGCACCGCCCCTCGGGCCGGCCGTGGGAAAGCGGCGGCGGCGGCGGGCGCCGCGTGCGACTCCGCTGCGGGGCTGTTGGGGGGCCGCGGTGTCGTCCCCTCCGCCCCCTCTGCGTCCCCCTCCTCACGGTTTCCCTCCCGGCCGCCCGCAGGGTCCCCGCCAGCCTCCCCAGGGCCTGTGTGGCTGGAGAAGCGCTCCACGTCAGCCCAATCCTCCCCGTGTTCCCCCCCCCCCCCCCCATTTTGGAAGCTGAGAGAAGGGAGAGCAGCGCTTCAAGCGTTGCGCGTTACCGTGCGGTTCCAGGCCAGGAAGGAAAGCCTGGCGGGAGAGGCGCTGCTCAGGGTGAGCGCATGCAGCAGGACGCCAGCACGTGTCCCCTGCACAAGCCTCCCGCCTGTTTGCTGAGGTACAAGTGAGAAAGGGTCGTGTGACACGAACCCCGAGGTGGCTTCCTAACGAATGGATTTCCATTCGCACTAAGCCTTTCAGCCGAGGCTCCCACCTGACAGTGGGTGCGTGTAGTCTCACAGCTGGAGATACGGAGACGTGCGGGGTGCTGCAGGGAAGGAGCCACGAGCCCGTGCCAAGCTCCGAGCAGCCACTGCCCACAGCTCTGCACAGTGCCACTGCTGGGAGGGTGTGGGAGCAGGGAGCAGCTCAGGGCAGTGAAGGAGCTGCAGGTGAGGAGCAGAAGTCCTGCAGCTGCCTGCAAGCAGCTAACACAGGGTTGTTCCCATGCTGTGTTTTCCATAAATCTGTCTGTTCTGCAGTGCTGTGTAATTAAGCTTGTGTCAGAACTTGCAGCGCACGCACCTTCCCAGCCTTCATGTTTTGCTGTAAAACACCTCTGGCTGCACCGCCTGCTTTCATGGAATCAGAATATTCATAAAGGTTGGGAAAGACCACTAAGGTCATCCAGTCCAACTGTCGATCCGTTCCCCCATGCCCACTAACCAAGTCACTCAGTGCCACATCCACACGTTTCCTGAACACCTCCAGGGTCAATGACTCCGCAGCCCTGGGCAGCCCATTCCTATGCATTACCACTCTTTCTGAGAATTTTTTCCTAACATCCAACCTGAACATTCCCAGCACAACATAAGGCCATTACCCCTCATTCTATCACTGTTACCTGGGAGAGGAGGCCAACCCCCACCTCACCACAACCTCCTTTCAGGTCTTTGTAGAAAGTGACAAGGTTTCCCCTGAGCCCTCCCTTCTCCAGACTGAACAATCCCAGTTCCCTCAGCCACTCCTCATGAGACATTTGCTCCAGAATGTATCCCTTGGCTCAGAACTGTCACGCTGCAACAGGGTAATGTGAATTTGGCATATTCACATCAAAGTGCATCCGTACTCTTCTGGATGCCTCTGAACAACGCGGGCAGTCTGCAGGCAGTCTGCCTTTCAGTGTCTAACGGGGGCTATAAGAAAGAAGGGAACGGACTCTTTAGAGGGTCTGTTGTTGATAGGACAAGGGAAAATGTTTGCAAACTGGAGTAAGTTGGATTTCAATTTGGACTGGAATTAAGGAGAAAGTTTTTTACTGTATTGATGGTGAGGCACTGGAAGAGGTTGCTGAGAGAGGTGATGGTGATGAAGAGGTGATGAGAGAGGTGATCCTCCATCCCTGGAGACATTCAAGGTCATTCTGAGCACCTGATCTAGCTATAGGTGTCCGTGTTCATTGCAGGGGAGTTGGACCAGATGACTGTAAGATCCATTCCAACTCAAATGATTCCATGATTTACCTGGGGATGTTTCAGCTTCATGTCTACATATGTAAGAATGTGTGTGTTCCATGTGTAGAATTGCACGAGGGATTCAATACCATGCTATTGTCAGGACAGCCTCCATTAGTGTTGCCATATTGTGAAGAGGAGATCGGCTGCTGGTAAGCAGCAACTGCAGGCACTGTTCTGCCAAGAGGAAGATGTCATAGAATCATAGAATTACAGAATCATAGAATGTCCTGGGTTGAAAAGAACCACAATGATCACTTAGTTTCAACCCCCTGCTGTGTGCAGGGTCACCAACCACCAGACCAGGCTGCCCAGAGCCACATCCAGCCTGGCCTTGAATGCTTCCAGGGATAGAGCATCCACAACTTCCTTGGGCAACCTGTTCCAGTGTGTCACCATCCTCTGTGTGAAAAACTTCCTCCTAATATGTAACCTAAACCTCCCTTGTCTCAGTTTAAAACCATTCCTCCTTGTCACTGCAGCTGGGCAGTTTTTTAAGCCCCTTCCTCATTCCTCCATATCCCACAGTATGTTTTGCACCAGGTATCATACAACAAAACTTCGTTTTTCTTTTTGCTGACCTTTTTTTTACAAAATCTTCTATGGTTTACCAAAATAGTTTTTTTCCTACAGTACCTTTCCCATAATAGACTAATAAATAATAATACAGAACCTTGTTCTTGTTTCCGGCGGAACAAACCCCAGGAGACTACCAAGGAGAAATCTGTCCAGCCATTTTTGTGGGCAGTAACTTCAGTATTGCAAGAGCCGTGTTCAAAACATGCTTCGTGTTGTGCATTGATGATGGAGAGGGAGTCTCTGCCCCACAGTTCACATTCTCAGACCACTTTGAGTTCTCTTTGTTAGACGCATGCAGCTTGGAGAACACCGTGTGTGCTGTTTGTTCTTGCTAGGAAGCCTAACATGGAAAACGACCCTCAGAACTTTGGTTCCACTCTGCAAAATGTTAAATAAAATATGCTCTTTAAAGGGGAAAATGTGGCTTTTTGGCAAACAGTAACAGGCACTTTTCTTTAGTTTCATAGAACTAAATTTCACTGTGCAAAAATAAAAATGAAGGCTGAGCATGCCCTGTAGCTGTTGGTAAATACAGCTGGGAATAAAGCAAATCAAAGTAGCAGCTGATTGCTTTTGAAGGTACCAGCTATTACAAGCTTTGATGAGCATTGCACAGGCAGGTAAATGAAAGCTGCAAATTACGCAGTGAGCAGCAGCTCCTGGAAAAGCAACCCTATTTTCTCTCAGATGATACCTTGCATTGACCTCACACATTTCTGCAGTTGCATTGTATCCTCCAGCCATCAGCCACCTGAACAGATTTTGGCTCGGGGAAGCAGCCATAGCACTTGGAGCCTGGAGTAATGGGCTGCAGAGGATGTTCAGTGTGTGCGAATGCAGTGAGAAAGCTCTGGGTATTTTTAATTGCTATGAAGCAGTCAGGACTTGGGCTGTAGTTCTGTCTTGGAGATACTGGCAAGACAACTTGGTTTGACTGCTCTAGATAGATTAAAGACTAAGCCTAGTGAGATTGGAAACTATGTTCCGAACAGGGCAAGTATTTGAATGTGGCTGCCTCAACAAGCAAAATCTCTCCTCCAGGGAAGTCAAAATCAAACCATCATTGGCTTAAATTATGGAATAAATTATGGAATCATTCGATTAAATTATGGAATACCTGGACAAAAACTAGCAACAGAAGTGCCTCCTTGGTTTTGCCAGACCAAGGTTAGGCATCAAAGCTGCTTTTTGCTAAACTTCTTGTTTTTGCTAAACTTCTGGATCTAAATGCATAGCTGCATCTGACCCGAGTTGTTTTAATTCAAACTGAAAGATCATAAAGCAGTTAGTTCTGGGACTCGAGCATATTTTGAGGTAATGAAATAGCTGTGGCCTGTACTGGCATGGAGGGCATTTTCCTGTGGGATGCTTCTTTTCAGTCTTGCTCACAGTACTTTGACACTGCAAGGCTTCAGGGCCTGGGGATGCTGCAGAGTCGAGCAGCACATCTGTGCAATACCAAGGCCCTGTGCAGAGCTGCTGTTCTCAGCGTGACCTTCATTTCATCTGCTTTTAAGGAGGAAACATCATTCCAAGAGAAATAGTTTTATTCCACAGTAGCACTCATCTGAAAGATTTACTCCAGAAAATCTCAGTGATGTTGGAACGGGAGCTATCAGAGCAGCACTGCTGAATAGCACTAGCAGTAATTTCCCATGCACGCCCAGGCCCTTCTTTTGATTCATACTGATGCGGTTGTGACAAAACTGCCTCGTGTTTGCTTGTTACAAAACAGGATCAGCAGCACACGGCTCTGAGTGCAGCACGGTGCTGACCTCTGCGTGAGCACCTCTGCAGTCGCGCTAATAGGGGTGCTCCACAGCAAGTGCAAGCAGTCACACACTCCTCATGCTGAAACCACAGCAAATGTGTTTAATCCCACACAATAGTTCCGTTATAATACGTCTTAAAGCTGCAGTTGGCAGGGAAGCAGCGACCACTTCTCACATATATAATGTATACGGAACATATTCAGCTTGGCACGGAGACAAGGAGCTGGAAGTGTCACGCTGGAGCCTCGCCCCTGACAGCATGAGACATGTGCTTGTAAGCTGTCTCGAAGAGGATATTTGATTGCCCTCTTTCTTCTTCTGCCTCTCTCCCAACAAAAGCGACCTGACCTCCCCCATGACCCGGCAAGTGCTGAAATTCCCCAAACACATTTTTCTGTTGTGCCCCAGCGCTGAACAAAAGGAGACGAAGCAGCCTCGATATACTTGGGAGCATGGAATGAAAATAACAGCGGGCCGTGGCCGGGCCAGTGAGCGCCCAGCATCACCTCTGGCCCTCCGCGTCTGCGCTGCCTCCCACGCCCGCTGCTGCATTGTCCGCAGCTCCGTCTTATTTATGCTCTCATATATTTATTTATTCGTT